TGAATGTGCCAAGAAATAAGGCTTCAATTTTCAAACGGCCATGAAGAGAGCAAGACCGAATTTTTCCACTAAGGGGTACCTCAACTCGGCATTCTTCAACACATGGCTGACAAAGTAGACCGGGAGCTGGCAGCCGTCTCTTTCAGCAAGGAGGACGACACTTAGAGCATGGTCAGATACTGTCAGGTACATGTAAAGCACTTCTTTAGGCAAGGGACTGACCAGCCTTGGCAAGGAATGCAAGTGAACTTTCAGTTTTTGGAAGGCCGCCTCAGCATCCGGCCCCCATTCAAACCTTGCCTTCTTCTTTATTGCCTGAAAAAAGTAAAGGCACTTGTCGCCTGACCGACTGAGAAATATTCCCAAGGCCGCCAGACAACCTGTTAACTTCTGAATCTCTCGGACTGTGCGAGGCAACTGCATGTCAATGACCGCCTGCACTTTCTCAGGGTTCGCCTCTATACCTCTCTGATTGATGAGGAATCCGAGAAACTTTCCAGACTCATCCCCAAAAACACACTTCTTGGGATTGAGCATGATATGGTGCCGCCTGAGTGTGGTGAATGTTTCTCGGAGGTCCGCCAGATGGTCTGTCTGAAGTTTGGACTTAACAATCATATCATCTATATATGCCTCGACATTCCTCCCAATTTGATCAAAGAAGACCGTATTTATCATTCTTTGGAAGGTGGCCGGGGCGTTCTTCAAACCAAACGGCATGACCGTATAACAATATAGCCCTTGATCAGTGACGAAGGCCGTCTTCTCCTGATCTTTCTTCCACAAAGGAATCTGATGGAAGCCAGAGTAGGCGTCCATGAAACTCATTAAAGCATGGCCGGCTGTTGAGTCAACCAGACTGTTAATTTTGGGCAAAGGATAGCTATCTTTGGGGCACGCCATGTTCAAATCAGTGTAGTCCACACACATCCGCCAGGTACCATTCGGCTTCTTTACTAGTACCACATTCGCAACCCAGTCAGGGAAGTAACATTGCCGAATGAACCATGCATCAAGCAGCTTCTTAACCTCGGCAGCTGCCGCCTGACTTCTTTCTTCACCATGGTTCCGCTTCTTTTGCCTGACCGGCTTCTTTTTCGGATCCACAGCCAATTTATGTACCGCCAGGTCAGGACTGATGTCTGGCATTTCATGAACTTCGAATGCAAAGATGTCTTTGAATTCCTTCAAAAGTTGGTGAAAACCTTCACCCAAAATTTCAAGAGCAGTTGTCCCAACCTTGACTATTCAGTCAGGACGTGAGTCGTCCAGTACGACATCCGTATGCTCACCAGCCGGCTGAGGGAGAAATTCATCTGACCGCTCCTCTGCCAGTGATTGCTATCTTTTTTCTCTTCTCTCGGCCCCCGATTGGTTGGCCTTTCTTTTCTTGCCGCCTGCCTTTTGAGCAGGTGCATCCTCCTTGATGAGTTCGTCGGCTTTTTCACCACTTGGACCAGCAATTACCACAGTGGGTTTGATGTCCGAGAGGTAACACTCTCGTGCCATCTTTTGATCTCCCCTTAGGGATCTGACTGTTCCATCATCCTTCTCAAATTTGAGCAGCATAAGAGAGGGGATAATGACAGCTTTAGAGTTGTTCAGGGTGGGTCATCCCAAGATCATGTTATAGGCCGAGAGTTCCTCAACCACTAAGAACCGAACCACCATGTGACGGCCCTACCCTTTCTCACCCAGGCGGATGGGTAGATCCACTAGTCCTACTGAGTGTACAACACCTCCTCCAAACCCTACTAAAGGGTGGGATACCGGATGTATGTAGTCAGTCTTGTACTTGAGCTTTTCCAAGCACCAGCTACTGATGAGATCAGAGGAACTACCAGTATCTATTAGAATTCGGCCAACTCTTTGGTTGGCTACCTTGCACTCAATGACAATGGGGTCATCATGCGGCCCCTTAACTCCTCCTAGATCTTCTTCTGTGATAACAATCTCTGGGAATGAACTCTTGGCGGTCCGTTCTTGGTGAACGGAATTAACATCTAGCCGCCTGATATTGTCTTTGTTGCCTCTGATAGTGGGGCCGCCTCCTGAGAAGCCGCCTGCTATAGTGTAGACGACTGCGTCATCTGTATCAGAACTGTCGACTTGCTGATGATTCTTTCTGGCCGACTGCTTGTTCTTTGGGGGAGCATTCCCCTTGGACTTCTTGACATAGGATTCAAGGTCGCCTTTTTCAGCCAGGCGGTCCAGGTAGCGCATGAGGCTGATACATTCGTTGGTTTCATAACCAACATCTTCATGATAATGAAAGAATTTATCCTGGTTCCGATTGCTTGCAGAACCCTTCATGGGGGTCGGCTTCTCGATTGAGATCCGGCTCTTGATTTCTTTGAGGATAGCTTGGCTATCCTTGTTGAACACATACTTCGGAGAATATGGTTTGAATTCCTTCTTCTTTTTCTGGGCCGGCTGTCCAGAAGAGTCGGCCGCCCAGACTTCTTTTCTCTTTTTCTCATCTTTATTCGCCGACTGCTTTGGTCGGCTTTCTTTTTTGTCAGACCTTCTTCCGTCCGACTACTTTCCAGTATTACAGAGATTAGTCGCTTGTATATATGCTTCAGCTTCAATCAAAGCTTCTTGGAGAGTCGCAACCCTCTTTCGGACCAGGTCAAACTTGTAGGTCGACCCATCCTTAAGACCTCTGAAAAAATCAGTGTAGGCTACCTCATCCGGCAGCCCTTGAATTTGAATCCTCATCAGGTTGAACCGCCTGATGTATGAACGAAGCCCCTCCTTTTCACCCTGCTGAATAGTCCCTAAATCAAGAGTCGTCTTCTTTGCAGGAATGTTCATAGAAAAGTGGGAGGTGAACAAGTAGGCAAGCGTCCTGAAATTATTCACACAACCAGTCGGCAGGTTGCTGAACCATTGTTGTGCGATTCCTTTGAGAGTTGCTGGGAAACACTTGCACCAAGTGGGATCATCCAACCCTTTGTGGTACATTAGGTTGGTGAACGCCATCAAATGATCTTCTGGGTTAGTAGTGCCATCATAGGCGCCTATTAGCACATTCTTAACTTTGGCCGGCTGGGCGGCCTCTGTAATTTCCCTGGAGAATGCGGACAGCTGTTCTCCAAGTCTTAGCAGCCGTAGTTGACAGTCCAAAGGTTGGACGTTTTTTGCCGCCTATCCTCCAAACAAAGGAGGCTGCAAAAAGTATTGTTGTTGCGGTACGTATGGCATGTTTGGTACCGCCTGCTCTTTATGAAATCCAGACCGACGGGAGGTACCACTTGTCTGACTCTCATAATTTGACTGAGTATACCTCATAGAAATCTGAAGTGGATGCCGACTTTGACAGTCGGTCATTCTTCTTTTGCTCTAGCAACAGCCGAGCATCTAAGTATGTTTTCTTTGACCCATCCGCTTGTACATGACGAATGGGCTTTCTTTTCCCTGGTGAGGGAAAATGATACTTTGTTAAGTCGATCATAGGCGGCTCCCACTTCCTAGAGTTAGGGTGGGGGGTTGCCTCTCGACCCTGTATAGGCTTCCTTCTACCAGACTGAGAAGGTTTCCTAGCCGACTACTCCTTGGAGGGAGCAGGCGTCTTTTTATTAATTAATTCTTGGATCTCTCCTTTGAATCCCCTCATGAAAGTCATGAGTTCGTTTCTTGTAATAGGAGCGGATCCTTCAGCCGCCTGTTGCTGATCAGGCGGTGAGCCGGCTAGATTGCTGGGTCTAGCTTGGTAATCTACCCGTTCTTTCCTTTTGGTGTGACGGGTGCGTCGGGCCCTTAGGGTCCCGTCTGAGGCCGTGTGTGCTTCAACCTCGACCTCATTCTCAGTGTCTTGGTCTGAGTAGACTTAAGGGTCGTCCACTGGACGCCTCTCTTCTTGATTTGGTACAGACGTTGATGCCATCTCGAAAGTACTCTCCCCACAGACGGCGCCAAAATGTTTTGGGGTTTTCTGATGATGTCCTGTGGGAGAGTTACTATTCCGAGACTGGAACCGTGCGCCTGTATCTGCAAAAAAACCGAGAGTCGGGGGTGGTGGGAGATCCGCCTCCGACGATCAAGTTAGTACTTGCTTTAGGAGTAATAAATGCGGAAAAAGGTAAAGTGTTTTCTCTAGGTGAGAGTAATTAATTGGCGTAATCCCCTTTAATGAGGATTAATTGGAACATTTATATGCCTTGGGATGCGTGCCAGTCCTAGGTTTAGGTCAACCTAGGGCTGATTGGGCTTCCACAAGACTTTGGGCCTAGGTGGTCGGCTTTCCCATTTGGCATGGGGGAGTACACGTGTCGTGACACAACTAGTCCTTGGTGGACAGATCAACGACTGACACACGGAAGACTCCTATTAGCCCACGTGGCGGACACATGGCAGGACCTGATTGGTCCACTTGTCAGATGGTGATTGGTAGGGAAAAATCCCCTAATCAAATCTAATATATTAAAGTTGAATTTATTGGAACTTATTATTATTATTTTTTTTAAATGGCATTTAGAGAAACATAAATGTAGATGATGAGAATCGATCCCAGGAATTCTTGAAACTGGAGGAAAGCTCTAACCACTTGAAGTATCCATCAGTATGATCATGATTGATTATCAATTGATGATTAAATTAATATAATGATAAATCTATTGAAGATTCTGACAATAATTTTTAAGAAAAAACAATCCTTCGCATTAAAGTAAGGATAAATTCTTTGATATATATAAATATTATTATTTTGAAAATAATTGTTGATGTGTTGATCCATGTATGAACAAGCTCGGTTAGAACCTATTCAAAACTCATTCGTTAATTGAAGAAAATAATCATCTTTTGATACTTCAATTTTTACTACTACTCTAATTATGAGAATGTATCTTTTAAATTAGTTTAGACAAACAATTAACTGCTAACAACTACTTATACAGTCGTACTTCATAAACACTCGTGGCCATTAAAGACCCTAACCTAGGAAATGTGTAAGAACTTGGGTATAGATGAATGTTCTAGGGAATGATCTTAATTTGCTTACTTCATCACAATGACGCATATTCCAATGACGCAATTGTATTTCCTTGAAATAATTTTAAAACAATATTTTTGCCCTTAACACTTTAATTAAAGCCCAAACCCCAATTTAAAATGATAAAATCGTACGGAGCAGACCAAAAGCCACAACTGCCCCATCATTATCAAATTAAAAATTTTAAAAAAAAAAATGAAAAATGAAAAAAACCGCCAAAAAAATAAAAAGCCAAGCCCGCTACTCTGTACGGAATAGAGATACTTGCTAAACAATTTTCCAAAAAAAAAAAAAAATTGCGTAAAAATAAACGAAGGGTAAAATCGTCCAAAAAATATAAACAATACAGTTTCCCTAGTCTCATTACTTAAGAACTAAGAACGACCCACTTTCTCCCTCACTTTCTCTCTCTTCCTTCACACTCCCTCTCTTTCTCTCTCATCATATATTCTCTGCAATTTCGTTCGTAACTCAATTCCAACTCCCAAATTCCCAACAATGTCGCACCGTGGCGGCAGTAGCAGCGGCGGAGGACGCGGTGGTGGTGGCGGAGGAAGAGGCCGTGGTGGTGGCGATTATGGCGGAAGAGGTCGAGGCGATTCCGGTGGTGGTCGTGGAGGTGGTGACTACGGTGGTGGACGAGGTCGCGGCGGCGATTACGGCGGTGGACGAGGTCGTGGAGATTCCGGCGGAAGAGGTGGTGGTGGTGGTCGAGGAGGTTTCCGACCGCCGAGTGTCGGAGTATTGTCGAAGGAGACATGGAAAGCGGCGAGTGTAGAAGGATTGAATAAAGCGATGACGGAGTTGAGTGTTACGCCGGCGCCTAGGTCTTCCAAGTCTATGAATCCTCCGAGAAGACCTGGTTTTGGAAGGGTTGGAATGAAGTGTTCTGTTAGGGCGAATCACTTTGTTGTTCAACTTGCTTATGAAAATAGTGATTTTCATCACTATGATGTAATCATTCTTTCTCTCTCCTCTTAATTACATTTTGTGTTATTGTTGTCGTCAATTTTTTTTGGGTGTTTTTGCTTAGATCAGCGGTTCTGTTGTAATTGTGATGATTGCGGTTTTTTGTTTTGCATGAAATTAAATGAATTTAGGGTTTTGATGGTATTTATGTCACAGTTTTTTTTGCCCAGAAATCTAAATAACTATTTTTTTTATAATTTATTTTTCGTTTTTTTTTCTTCTTCTTTGAAAGTCCTTTTTAAAAGGACAGAATTTACATTGATTTCAAAAATGTTTTTTTTTTTTTTGGTATTGTTTAGATGTGTTCTTCAAATTGTTGTATGAGTATATGGGGATGTGTCAATAGTCTGATCATTTGGATGTGGGGTTATTTTTCTTTGGTCTCTTAAGTCAATGCACTTCCACCGTGTATGAGCGTGAGCTTATGTGCGTGATTGTGTGTTTTGTTTGAAGCTACATTTAGGAGTTTGAGATTCCTATATATATTTAGTGAAATCGATATTCATGTTTTCATCTGTGCTCATGTGGTAAATGTGGTTGTTCTTGCCAATATGTTCGTAATATGTTATTAAAATGTATTCCGTAGTGTTAAATCTGGTTATCATTAATTGCAAAATTTTCCTTTGATTGTTCCCCTGTAGTTTTTTTTTTCTCTTTTTTTCGGTGTGCTCAGGTGCATGCTATGCGGCTGTATAAGGGTATTAGGGTTAGTTGGGTGTGGTTGTAAGGATATGAACTTATCAACTATTCTCCCTTATTCGTACATACTTGTACCGGTGATATTCCAGTTTGGAAGTGATAGGATCTTGTTCCTTTTTGTTCTGTTTTTGCTTTGTTTTCCCGAGCATTTGTGCATTTTGGTATTTCTTAAAAAAATCTTTTTCAATTATTAAAACCCTATATTTCTAGTTTGTAAATGCAGTAGATTCTCAAGAGATGCTTGTTTGAACTTTATTTCTAGATTCAATGTAAATTGCAAGAGAATGAGCTGTGAAATGAGAGGATACTTTTGATGAAATTGAGGGGAGTTCTGTTGTGTCATTGTGTGCGCTCTCAACTTTAGCTTTCACTAGTGTGCCTTTCCTTTCATAGATTTTGTAGAAAACATTGAAGAGTTACATTAGAAGGTAGAAGTTGGTTAAAGTGTGTCCTTGAATGACAGAGTAGGATAATGAGAGTATAGTACTTGAGAATAGGAGTTTATGTGCTGATGTGAACTATGGCTGCTTCAATGACCTCTCTGTCCTATCTTCTAATGTAGTGGATTTAATCCAAGGAGCGTATTGGTAATGTGTTTTTTCTTTTTTATAATTTTGGGAACAGGTGTCTATCACTCCAGAAGTTACTGCAAAGAACTTTAGCAGAGAGATTTTGAATAAACTTGTAAAGGATCACAAGGCATTTTTGGGGGGTCGGATTCCAGCATATGATGGCAACAAGAGCATCTATACTGCAGGCCCCTTGCCTTTCACAACTAAGGAATTTATTGTTGAAATGCAACGTGAAAAAAGAGGCAGTTCAGAAATGTAAGCTCTATGGCCTCTATCTCGATCATGTAATGTCTCTCTCTTGTTCTTGTCAATATCCTGCTTAGTTAACTGGTAATGGATGATTGTCAGGGAGATTGCTAAATTTCAGGTAGCGATCAAATTGGCTGCCAAGGTTGGCCTGTATAATCTGCAAGAGTATCTTCGTGGTCGGACTTCAGAGGCCCCTCAAGATGCTATCCAAGTTCTTGATATTGTAATGCGTGCAGCTAAGCCTCTTAATGAGTAAGCTTTGTTTCTTCTATGCTGTAAATTTTACAATCTTGTGCTGCTGTGCGTTGTTTGTCTTGTTGAGATGGTTAGAGATTTTGCTGTGTTATGTAGCTATGCAGTGATTGGGAGATCGTTTTTTTCCGTTAAGCTGGGTACGGGGCCTCTTGCAGATGGTGTAGAGTACTGGAGGGGTTACTATCAAAGCATTCGGCCCACCCAAATGGGTCTTTCTCTGAATATAGGTGTACCTTGGCATATTTTTTCTGTTTGTCTTTTGTCAATAATGTCATTGTAGTATTGTACGGAGTATTTTTATATTGACTGATTATGAGTTGTTGAATATTGCTATTGTAGATGGGTCTGCTCGTCCATTTTACGAGTCTATGATGGTTCACTATTTTGTTCAAGAGTACTTAAAATTGAGGGATCTAAACAGGCCTCTTACTGATGCCAACCGTGTAAAGGTAGTTCCATATGGTCTTGGGAATATGTAATTTGTTTTATATTTTTAGTTTTTTTTAACTTGCAATGTTTCACATTTCACTTGCAAATGCATTAGTTTAAACACTTATATCTTTAATCACCAATATGTAAAAATTATAAAAATTTGATAGTATGAACATATAAATTGAGATAAATATAACAAGATTACATGACTATTTTTCCGTGTCTATTAATCATTAAAGATAGTCAAAGTGGATTATTTGAGTAGTTGAAAAGTCAAAGTGTTGCAAGTTATAAAAAACGGAGGAAGTACTTGATATTAAAAAAGCACAATCTATATATCTCTGTTTTTCTTTACAGGTCAAGAGGGCATTGAAAGGGCTTACTGTGGAATTAACTCATTTAAGCTACAAAAAACGTAGCAAAGTGACTGGTGTCTCAAGTGAACCTGCAAACCAGCTGATGTATGTTCCAAGAATGCACCTTTTTAACTTTTTGTTTCATTCTCTTTTCCTTTGATGGATGATTGGTGTTTTTTGTTCTGTGCTTGTGATAGTATGTTACATACTGGTCATATTGTATGATCAAGCGTTTTCTTTTCGTTTCTTCTGCACATTTGTTCTTACCTTTCTGGTGGCAGAGTTCCCACAGATAGGACATTACAAACTATCTTGCAGGATTATTTGGGGTGATCATTGTTATTATATTTGACATAGTGTTTTGCACCAAAAAAAAAAAAAAAAAAAATTTGACATAGTGTTTGCTTTCTCTTTCCCTGGTTCTCGTTGGTAATTACTAAAGCTGGCAATCTGGCATTGAACGTTATCTGGTCGACATGTTTGCAGGTTTTCATATGAAAATGTAAAGTTGTCTGTTTCCCAGTATTTCAAAAACAAGTATGGGATTCAGCTTCAATATCCTTCTTTACCGTGCATCCAAACTGGGCCGGCTAGCAGGCCTAACTATGTGCCTATGGAGGTTGATTTTTTTGTTTTTCTTATTTCATCTGCATATTTTTTCCGTGTTTTGCATATTGATTATAGGCATTTGTGAATTTCTCTATAGGTCTGCAAAATTGCTCATGGACAAAAGTATGCTAAGAAGTTGAATGAGAGGCAGGTTACTGCTCTCCTCAAGGCAACTTGCCAAAGACCTGAGTTAAGAGAGGAGAGTATCAAGAAGGTAATTTTTTTGTCAATCAAGCTATTTTTGTAATTGAAAATTTGTCTTAAGAGTTTTTGGCATTATTACTTATCCTTTTTTTTTCTTTGCCTCTGTTGTCTGAAGATGGTCAAAGACAATGGGTATACTGAAAATCAGATGACCAAGGAGTTTGGAATGAATATTTCTGAAATGTGTACAACTATTGATGCCCGTGTGCTGCCTCCTCCAATGGTAGATTGGTTTAATTAGAATTTATTTCTGAACACCATGCGGTTTTGCTGTTTTACCACTCCAAATGCTATACTGACAATTATATTCTTGTCTTGTGAAGCTCAAGTATCATGACAGTGGGAGGGAACGACAAGTTGCTCCTTCAGTTGGCCAGTGGAATATGATTGACAAGGTAATGACTTTGATTTTTATTTTGGGGTTACTTTTTGTTGTGGTTCTCATCAAATTTATGACGGTCGTTTCGGATCTGTAGAAAATGATTAATGGTGCATCTGTAGATCGTTGGACATGCCTGAGTTTTTCAAACATGGATCCAGATGTAGTGCACCATTTCTGCGCAGGTCTGGTTGCCATGTGCGCTAGCAAGGGGATGGTATGTTGTCATGGCATTAAAGTATATGGTTTGGTATTAAACTAATACTTTTTTCCTGGCATCAATGATATTCTTGTTGATTTTTCCTAATTTTGTTGCCAGACCTTCACTCAGAAGCCATGTATCCCTATACGTGGAGGTCATCCATCTCAGATTCAGAAAGCTCTTGTACAAGTATGGACTGAAGCCCAACAGAAGTTGCAGTTGTTGATCATAATATTGCCAGATGCAAGTGGATCTTATGGTATTTGGCCATTGTTACTCTTTAAATTTGACTTGGGGTTGTTGATTGATAGTAATTAGGTTCTTTTTTTGCCATGCAGGAACTATAAAAAGAATATGTGAAACAGAGTTGGGAATAATCTCTCAATGTTGTCAGCCTAGGCAGGCTGCCAAGATTAATAACCAATACATGGAAAATGTAGCTTTGAAAATCAATGTGAAGGTAACTATGCAACTTATGACTTATGCATATTGTATATCTATGTACCCACCTTTTTGTTTATTTATGCTCATCATGCAAACGCTCAAATCGCTCAGGCTGGGGGGAGGAATACTGTGTTGATTGATGCTGTTCAGAGAAATATACCTCTTTTGACAGATCGTCCAACAATTATTTTTGGTGCTGATGTTACTCATCCTCCACCAGGGGAGGATTCTAGTGCCTCAATTGCTGCGGTATGGTTCCCTCCATGGGATTTTAATGTTCTTAATTTACCGTCTGCTCTTTGTTTATCATGGTGGAAGCTGTTATCCATGTACATGCTTTTTATCACAGGTAGTTGCTTCAATGGACTGGCCTGAAGTGACAAAGTACAAGGGCCTTGTCTCTGCCCAGGCTCATCGGGAAGAGATTATCCAGGATCTCTATAAAGTTGTTGATGATCCAGTGAAGGGAAAAGTACATAGTGGAATGATTAGGTAAAGTATTGAAGTATTTATAAACTTTTCCTGCTATTTTCATTATCCGAGTTTGAGGTTTTTGATTGGTTTGTTCTGGTTGTAGGGAATTGCTGATATCTTTCCTAAGAAACACTAAGCAAAAACCACAGAGGATTATCTTTTTTAGGTATAAATGTTTGCTACTTTGTGTGTTCAAAATATAAGTTTGATTTGTTCTCACTGACTCCATATTTGATGGGGTAGGGATGGAGTTAGTGAAGGCCAATTCTCTCAAGTTCTGCTGCAGGAACTGAATGCTATTTGGCAGGTATGAAATTTTCCTTGAAGGCTGTCAGACTAAGAAATGTCATCACACAAATTAAACGACTTGAAGTTCGTGGCTGGGTTTTGCATGTTGAATCACCTGTCTTTCTTTTTTGTTTTTTGAAGGCCTGCACATCATTGGAAGAGGGCTATCTTCCACGTGTGACATTTGTGGTTGTTCAAAAGCGTCATCACACCCGTCTCTTTCCTGTTGATAATAGAATGACAGACAGGAGTGGAAATATTCTTCCGGGTTTCCTTGCTATCTTTCTCTAAAATTTATGCAATTCTCGAGAAATCTTGTTGACCTTTTTTTTAAACTTGAGATACTAGTATATATTTTGAATTGTGCTCTTATCATATATCTGTCACAGGTACTGTGGTTGACACTAACATTTGTCATCCATCAGAGTTTGATTTCTATTTATGCAGTCATGCTGGGATACAGGTAACTTGTTTCAGTTGGCGTTTTCGTAGTTTGCCTTTTTTAGGTTTCTTGTTTTCAGTTAAATCCTTTTAGGTTCTAGCTATATGCAAATTTCTTGAGGCAAATTATGTAGGAACCAATTTATTTACATTTTTGTTTGATACAAACAATATAAATTATATTTCGTGTATATATACTTTTGCTTTTGTATAACCACCCTTTCTAGTTGTTGAAATTTTTTGGTGTTTCTGCTTCACTTTTCTTGTGAGTTGTGTAGATTTAAACTTTTTAGCCATGCCCATACATTAACTGTCCTGTTACCAATTTGAATGGTTTCTGAAACTTTGTGAATGACATGTAGGGGACAAGCCGGCCTTCACATTATCATGTGCTGTATGATGAGAACAATTTTACAGCAGACTTACTTCAGCTGCTGGCGAATAGCTTGTGTTACACGTAATAGTCTACTTGTAATTGGTTTTCTTGACTTAATCCTAAGATTTATGGTGTATTGTTTGTTGAAGTCGGGTGTTGATTTCTTGTTTATACAGGTTTGCTAGGTGCACACGTTCAGTCTCCATTGGTAAGTTTCAACAAGTATTATTATAGTATAGATTCTAAGGTTTCTTCGATGGCTGTTTTAAGGAGTAACAATAACTTTTTGTATTAATTGTATTGGCAGTCCCTCCAGCTTATTATGCGCATCTTTTGGCATTTCGTGCTCGCTATTATGTTGAAGGTCTAACAATGTCAGATAGTGGTTCCACTAGTGGCGGCAAGGATTTGACAGCAGAAAAACAGGCTCTGTCTCAGGCCCTTCCTAAGATCAAGGACAGTGTGAAGGATGTCATGTTCTATTGTTAAGAAGCATCGTAATGTCTTAAACTTAATTATATAAATTATATAATTAACTAATTGTGATGTCCTTTGAGCATTTTGATGCTATTAAGCTGTGGGTAGGAAGTATTGGCTTTTATCTATAGCTTCAGTAGTTTGGGGTTTAGTTTTGACTAAGGTGTGCAGTGTTTTTCTTATGATTTTGGGTGATCAATTGTTCACACTTTTGAATATGTATATAATCTATAGGATATATCTATTATTCAGTCGCTTGAAGTTTCTTTTTACCTATTTAGTACAGTATTAACATAAACCACTTTGACTTGTGTTGGTGTTTTAACATGTGGAGTAAGGCTTTGTTTGGTTCAACTTATTTTTGCTGATCAGATCTGATCTAATCTGATTGTCTGATTTGACCAAACTTTGACCTAAAGTATACGATAATTTATAATGAAAAAATATATAAAGTGGGATCTTATTGGATTTGTAATAATGTGTAGTTTATTAGTATATAATTTTCACAATTTTTTTCATTATGAAATTAAGAATATTTAGCGATAAAAAACCGCACATAAAAAGATGTTGATCTTAATTTATTTTTTCTTACTGATCTTTTAAGAACTTATATTTTCTGATCGGATATGAACTTATTTTTTCTAAAATAAGTAAAAATAAGTTTTAACTAAACAAGGCTTAAGAATAGTCTTATTTTAACTAAACAATGCCTAAGAATATACTATGACTCAAGATTATGTATTAATCCCCAAAATTAATTTGAGGTTTAATACGAGTACATAACTTGTATTGTTTAAATTTAAAGAACAATACAAAAACATTTCAACAACCCTTACAGCTTCATAAGAATATTAAATTCTCAATTACATCCTAGCTGAATTAATGTGGAGTGAACACAAAAGACTTGCTAATACTTTATGCATTATGTTTCAAAACGTCGTTGACTGGTTATTGTCATGGAATGTTTCCATGAAACAATGGAACCGTCAATTAGGTTAACACGTGTAGCCATGTAGGACCTTTAAACGGTCTGCAACTTTTTATATTTTCTTTCTTTAAAAAGAATTTATAATATTTCATTTTGTAATTGTATTTATAAAATATTTATAGTTGACATTAAGGACACAGTCGGCAAACTGAAAGTCGACATGATTAGTTTATTTTCACATTAATTTAAGTTTTTTGGTCATGTACAATGGTTTTCGTATTTTTTTACTCTTTTTAAGAACTTTTGCTTGTTTCAAATATGGTTAGAGAATTAGTAGGTGGAATAAAAATAAAAATGATATAATATTATAATGTAGTTTTTTGTAAAAAAAAAAAAAAAAAAAAAAAAAAGGAAGTGTAACTTTATTAAAACACAACAGCATTTGGTAAGTGTCATTTATTAAAATACAGAGGGAGTACATAAGTCGAACATATTATTTATTTTGGGACGGAGGAAATATATAAGTGAAGAGCGCTTTGATGTCCACTTAAAGAGGCTATAATAATTCTCAAGAACCAATGTTAATAATTCTCAAGAACCAATTTATCCTGAAATTGACTCTCATCATCCGCCCTTGTAGCACTCTAAATAAAAAAAAAGGCTATAATAACTCTGAAGACACGACATGAGCCCGCTAGCGGCACGTCACAAGAAACGAGGGTTGGGCCGTGCCGTGAACAAAAAAAAAAATCGACACGAACCCGGCACGAGCCTGCTGGCAGCACGAACTTTTGGCCCGCCAGCGCGACCCATAATAATAAAAATAATTAAAAAATACTATAAATAATAAAAATAAAAACAATAAAAAGAAATATTATAAAAATAAAAATAATCAAAAGAACCTTAATAATATAAAGAATTATAAATAATAAAAATAAAATAATAAAAATATTAAAATTAATTAATTAATAATAAAAATAATGGGCTAGCCCGTGGCCTGGCATGGGCCGTGGGCTGTGTCGTGCCGTGGGCTGGGGTGTGCCATTTGGTGGCCCGGCACGGCACAGCCCGCCATCACCTAGGCCCGGCATGGCACGTCACGACCCTCCTCCTGGCATGGCGAGGCACGGCCCACGGCGACCCGGCACGACATGATGCCCAGCTCTAATTGTCGATATACTTCTAATATTTCATATATACAAAATTAATCATAACTTTTAATAAATATTATATAACTCTGTTCTATTTCCGTCACAAAATTCATTTTAAGAAGTTGTTTAAAATATGATCCATTTATAATATATTAATTTATTATTAAAAATAATAGTGAATATTGGTAAAAATACTTTCAATTCAGTAAAAGTAATTTAAGTTCAATAAAAATAATTTCAAGTTAATAATAACATAATTTAAGTTCAATAAAAAATAATTTTAGTTTGCTAAAAATACTTTTAGTTCAGTAAAAATAATTTAAGTTCAATATAAATAATTTTAAGTCAATAATAACATAGATATTTACAATCAAAACTACAAAAAATACACTACTATATAAATTAACAAAAGAGATTATATGACCGTATTTAATATTCACACCAAAATTTAATCCTATATCTTAAATACCATCTGGGCATCGTCCAAGCACCAAACTCATATATATATATATATATATATATATATATATATATATATATATATATATATATATATTTATGGGAGTTTTTTCTCGATTTTTTAGAGTCACGTAGGATTTTTATTTTTTAAAAAAATTAAAGCGCCAGGTAAGATTTTGATTTTAAAAAAAGTGCGTTGCATAGGATTGTGATTTAAAGTGTGCCACGTAAGATAATGATTATTAAATAATTAACTTAATAAAATTAATCCTATTAAACCTATCAAATAAATTAAAAAAAAAAAAAACTAATCCTAATAACCACCTATATATCCTATGTATTAACTAAAAAAATAACTTAATAAAATTTATCCCATTACTCTTATCAAATAAATAAAATAAAAACTAATCCTAATAACCACCTATTTATCCTACATATTTATAAATAATGATTATCAAATAATTTTATTTAAAAAAAAAAAAAAAACGAATTATACGATTATTTACGTGGATATGCCATAAAAATTCATGTTTGTTGTTCGAGTACTATTTACAGTAGGACTAGGATAATACTCCAGAAGATATAATAATAAATAAAAATGTGATGATAATGCACGTGTTGCATGGATAAATTTTTGGACTGTTAGGAATTTTTTAAAATTACAAATAAAAGAATGATATAATTTAAGTTGGGAAAAAGATGTGAATTGATTTCATTAGCTTATGATTTGTTATTATTATAAATAAGCATTAATTTAGTTCATGCACCACCAAAGGGTCACACAATACTTCATACAAAATAATTTGGGATTTCATATTGTGATAAAAAAAAATGTCTATCTCATTCCATAAACTCATTGTTTTATTAGGTTTATTTCGTTGATTTGAGAAATTAATTCTTCCAAAAATGATTGAAAAATTAAAGTACGTGTATCAAGGCTTTTTGATGTTTTGAACTTTCGAAAATATAATAGTTTGATTAGTATGAAAATGCTTTTAATTGACACAGAGGTATACATATTGTTTTAAATTAATTGAATAATATATAATATTTTTTTTTAAATTCATTGTTTACCTTACAATATATATTATTTTAACTTACAATAATATTCTTGATGTGTAGGGTGATTATGTCCATCCTTCAATCAAAGGAAAATTTGTCCAACAAAAATAATGATACAATTTTATTTTTTATTTTTAAAAATACAACTGTCAAGGGTGTTGCAGATAATAATCAAATTCCATTGCATAGATTTGATTTTGTTCAATTGCAACATTTAGATCAGTTCCGTAGTAATGCAACACTCCCTGGTATATGTTTTACATATTTTCCATTTTTATTATCATAAAAATTCTATAGTGTTATACTTTATTTTACTAATCGTTTTTTTTTGGTATATTACTTTGTCTTACAAGATGTGGTTGGTATGGTTGTAAACGAAGTCGGAGATTCAATTGAAATAATAGAAGACAACCGGTAATCATTATTATTATTATTATTATTATTATTATTATTAAACACGATAAAGTAAGATTTATTATTTAAGAATAATTTATATTTGATTAATTTTAGATTTATTATTAAATTATTTATATTTGGATATCATGATTAGGGGACAACGAATCCAATTAAAGCTTTGGCATAATGTATTTCCTGATTATTCAAGACAAAAAGACCTACTTGCTAATTCTATTGAGCCTTTTGGTATAATTGTTACTTCAACAATGGTCAAATATTTTAATGATAAGTATCATATATTAGTCATTATAATAATTTTTTATTTTTATTTTTATTTTTTTAAATATTTTACCATTGTCGTGTTCATTTATAATATTTACTATTTTGTTTACATGGAAAATAAAATTACTCTATGTACTTCTGCATCAACCAAAATATACATCGATCTTCAAATTTCTGAGGTTAATGAATTGGAATCCTTATGGAGGTATGTTGTTTCAATAATTTTAATTTTTATGCTACTCTTTCTACATAGACATATATATCTCTTATCTATGATCATTATAATGTAGTGAGAAGTTGAAGCTTCAAAAGATGAAGTTACAACTAACCGCAAAACGCCCTATTAATATTATCAATTCAACGAAGAATGATCATGAATTGTCTAACAAAATCACATCAAAGAAGATATAATTCATTTAAATATTTCTTACTATTTCTAATTCTACCATATAGATTATTTAACAGTATACTAATATTAACACTTTGAATACTTCGCGTATGATGCAAGTTTAACTTTATGAATCAAGGATTCTCTCGAAACATAATGAACTTTATACTAAAAAAACTAATTCCAACAATTTATCAATGATAATAATAATAAATGTCTTTGTGGTTCCTCAAAAAAAAAATGTCTTTGTGTTTATTATTATTATTATTATTATTATTATTATTATTATTATTATTATTATTATTATTATTATTATTATTATTATTATTATTATTATTATTATTACTACTACTACTACTACTACTACTACTATTATTGTTATTATATAATATACGAGAAGGAAATAAATCTAAAATAATAATTAATAATAATAATAATAATTGGGTTGTCTGACTTTGTTCTTGGTTGTGTTTTGCTGGATGCGGCTCAGCGGAAGCGGGACAAGTATGGGGCTCGTTGCAGGGCAATTGGCTATGATTTTCTTCCTTTCTCCTATTCTTCTTCGGGGGAATTAGAAAAGGATGCTGTTGCGTTGCTGAAGCGGGTTCAAACATTTGCTAGGACTCAGGATATTGGTGCTCGTGCAGCTGTTCACATCTTCAGCAGGATCGGGTTCGCAATAGTTAGAGGGGAGGGGGCCCAGATTGTTTAATAATAATAATAATAATAATAATTATTATTATTATTAATAATAAAAATAAATTACAAAAACAGGTTTCACACCTAGTGTTAATATTGGGAAAAAAAAAGATTCAATCAAAGAATATTTCAAATCATATTTACTAGCGGAAAAAATCAAATAATGAAATAAAATTAACATATAAGAAAAAATTGTAACCAAATAATACAATGGAGTGATAATTAAGGGTACGATTTAGTCACATTTCTGGAGAGATCCAATAATATAAGAAGTTAAGATTGAAAAGGATAATATGTTTTGACTCTATAGCAAAATATGAAAATTCCCATTTTCTCATTTATTTCAAAAGATTTGTGCATCTATACTAATCTATTAAAAGACATTCTTAAGAATGTTTATATGCCACATAAACCCCTTTTCATTACGCCACGTCACCTACTCAACCTTTTATTATGTCACATCACCAATCAATCAACTTTAATTACGCCACATCACCTACTTAACCTCTCATTATTATACCACATCACCACTCAATCAATTCGAACACCCAACTTCTTATAAGAAGGATGATTATTTAACTATCTAAGTCAATTATCATGTTATAAACATGAAAATAAATGTATATAATTGCAAATCACAAGGTCTAATCAAAAAAAGAAAAAAAAAAGATATCATAATTATCAAATACATATATAATTACAAGGTTTAATTAAAGTAATAATCTGGTGCAACGCCCGGACTACACACTAGTTTAATATGAAAAATCTGTTCATACAACATTTCTTATTCAACTTATTATAAGGATATTTTCATTTTATATCCTTGCAATTATTTCTTAACAGAGGAAGTATAATTTTTGTTTTGTTTTTTTTTTAGGTTAGCATTGAAAAAGCCTGTTATAAATTTCCTATCTCCACTGTCATTGAAAAAGACACCATAATCAAAGACAACCTACAAAACTATTAGACCATTTGGAAATTTCTACACATAAAATTTTCTTTTACAAAAAAGCAAAAAGAACATTAAAAATTTGAAAATTGATCATCATTAATTTCTTCTTAACATCAATATTTTTCCAAATTTACATCATTTTTTTCTACCATCAGAAAAAAGAGAAAAAAAAAAAAATAGAAACAATTCATCAACAATGGAGAAAGATATATTGTTTAGAAAATACCAGATCGGAAGAATGCTCGGAATTGGTGGGTTCGCGAAAGTGTATCTCGCAATGAACATCCACACCGGCCAAAAGGTGGCGATCAAAGTCATAAGCAAGCAGAAAATCAATGAGAAAAATCTAATGTCCAACATCAAAAGAGAAATAACCATCATGGGCCGTCTTCGACACCCGAACATCGTTCGGTTGTACGAAGTTTTAGCCTGTAAACGAAAGGTCTATTTCATTATTGAGCTAGCCAAAGGCGGCGAGCTTCAGGCTTGGATAAAGGACAATCAACGTTTTAGCGAAGAGCTCAGCCGAATGTATTTCCAACAGCTAATCTCAGCTGTTGGATACTGTCATTTCAGAGGTGTGTATCATCGTGATCTGAAACCTCAAAATCTTCTGCTCCATGATGGGAACCTTAAAGTCTCCGATTTCGGGCTTGGTGCTATTAGGCTTCTTAAGGACAGACAGGATCAGTTGTTACGCACGCGATGCGGGACGCCTGCGTTCGTGGCACCAGAGGTGTTACAGAGACGAGAATATGATGGTGCTATGGTTGATATTTGGGCATGTGGGGTGATATTATTTATTCTTACTGCTGGATATTTACCATTCGATCTTCCTAACAGAATGGCTATGTACAGAAGAATAATGGAAGGAAAATTGTTCTGTCCTAAATGGATGTCTTCTGATCTAATTCGGTTTTTGGGTCGTTTACTTGAAAAGAACCCGAAAACAAGGATCACTATTGATGAGATTGTTCATGACCCTTGGTTCAAGAAAGGTGGCTTGTTTAAAGGCAAAGGTCCCGAGTACAAGTTCCCATTTTACCATGATAATTATGGTGAGGAATTTGATACTTCTGCTTTACAACCACAGCAGCAGCAGCAGGTGGCTGCACCCGAGGCGAGCAGCAGTTCAGGTATAACACTGAATGCATTCGATTTAATTGGATTATCATCAGGTCTAGATTTGTCGGGTTTGTTCAACGAGTTTTATGATCCATTCGAGGATAGTGAGAAGTTTTTTTCACTTGTGCCTGTGGGCAAGATCCTTGACACCATCGAGGAGGTTGCGGACGAGCTGGACTTGCAGGTCCGCAGGAGGAAGAAGTATGGTGTTGCAGACTTGGTTGGGCCTAAGGGTGATTTCATTGCCAGGGTAGAGATTGATCGACTAACTGAACGATTGGTAATTGTTGAATTGAAGATAAAAGGAGGAGATTTTGTATCTGACAATGAAATTTGGAAGAAAAAGCTGATACCTAAACTTTCTGGGTTAGTTTATAGAATTCCTAAATCAGAACCTTCAGAAGAAGAAAAGGATACTAAACATGATGATGAACAAAAGGATACTAAACATGATGATGAACAAAAGGATACTATACACGATGATGAAATTACCCTTGCTGTTTCCGTTGATCAATTGACAATCGAGCACACACAGGTAATTAGTTAATTACCAGTTATATACTCGTAATATAAAATTCTTTTGGACGTTTTCAACATTGACACCGACAACTACAAGTTTTGGGAAGTTTGTAGGAAATTCGGTATGATATCGAATTTGGGAAATGGAAAATTATTGTTTGTGCATTTTGTGTATATCATAGATGAATTGTGTTAAAATTCTTTTGTGTGTGTGTTTTACTGAGTTTTTTGATTTACCATCATTGTGGTAAGGAAAATGAACTTGTATAGTGGTATAGAAATGTAATGACATTATTATGTAAATATTTTCAATTTCAATTTCAAGTTAATTGTATCCTGAATTGTACAAACTACATATACATATTTAATTAATGAGAATACTCTAATCAAGGGGAATTGCATAATCTTATAAATCAAAATCACAATGTTCATCCTTTCCACTGATCTGAATGTCTTTTACTATAAGGCTATGCCTATCATCACCCACCTTTGAGGGTTAGTAGGATAAATCGATTGATTTAATGAGTGCTAAACTAGCTAATAATTACAATTAGAGTATAAAACAACCAAAAAGTTTATTCGTGGAGTTTGCATATGGTCAGACAACCCAAGATTGCAGATGGCGTCATAACATTCTACGAAATCTTATACACATCTTCTCTGTTTTTACTACGAAAAAATATATAATCAATAATCATCCCAAATGATCCTATCATTCATATATATGTTAAGTGGCATTGACTATCTGAATCTAATACTTCTTCCATTTCTTTTTGATTGCAACATTAATAGTTATACAGGTAACTTGATCGGAATTATGGTTTACGGATCATCATCCCAATAACCAATAAGAGTACCAATTATAAGGATGAATAATGTCAAAGTTGCGGCAATCTATTGTTGCATTGACATGATAGTTGAATCGAGGACTTAAGATTTAATTTTTGGCAGACTTTTGTATTACTGAATCTAAAATTTTGGCACTTAATTATATAAACTAAAGGTGTTTTACTATCACTCTTGCAGAGCAATGAAAATATTTCTGTTTTAACAAACTTACAGCTATACAGTAGACCGTAGCACATTTAACGTGCAATAAGCAATATGTTTTGCAGTCAACCAAAAAAAAACTAAGCAGGACTACTTCAGCACGTCCTTTCCCCCCCCCCCGCAAATCACACCTAATGACATCTTTTAATTACACCTAATGTACCCTGTTTATTCATTAACTACTTGTATCATCGTAAGCCTGCTCTAAAGCCTCTAATAATTCAACTCTTCGGGTGTTGTACTCTTTCTTTTATTTGTTACATTTAACTTTCACAATTTTCAATGCACATATTTGACTACGACTAATCGATTATGTTCAATTAGGTTAGTATAAAAATTACTATCATTTGATATTTTGAAGATATTAATGGTCAAAATGTAAATTATGATTGTATACGGTACGAAATTTGCTATTAAAGTTAAAATAATGTGTTGTCAAACGTAAAAGTCAAAAATAGTGCAACTACTTAAAAAATGAATTAGTACGTGAAATAAAAAAGTAAAAAGAAAGAAGCACAAATGATACAATAACTTACGCAAGTTACTAAGCAAATGTTGAGTATGTAGTATGTTGGATATTTTAACTAAAAATAATTAGTAATAATTGATTTTTTAATTTAATATATTTAATTTTTAAATTTAAAATATAAAATAATCTAATATTATATAAATAAAGTAGGCATTTTTTAAGAGCATTCGGCGCGCCACATAAGCAAAGACATTATTTCGACTAATTAAAAATTAGATTTCTATTTTATTTTTAGAATTAAAAAATTTGATTGCCACCTAAGTAAAAGTGACGAATGAGATTTAAGAGTTTTGCCACGTAAGTAAAAACAACGGATATTGATTTATTAGGATATAATTTATTTAAAAAACTAAAAATTATCTTTTAAACTAATTATCTTTAGATATAAGATTTATATACCTACTATTATAAGATAAATTTTGATAGTGTTTATGATAAGAAATAAAATTATTCCTTAATTATAATTAAATTAAATTTTGTGATATTTACCAATATAAATTGATGTATCATATCACACCAACAAAATTTCGTATCAATACAAAACCAAACCAAGCAAATTTTGTGTCATTAATTTGTGTCAGTTTTATTAGGGTCATCAAAGACTGGGTAATTCTTAGCCTAATTTTTAAAACTCATGTTTAAATGTATATTTGTGATTATTGATTAAATTGTGTTTATTTGGGATACTTAATGATTATATGTTTATGTTTTGTTTACTGAATTTTGTTTTTACATGTAGATCTAATTTAATCAGAGAATTAAATTCGAGCAAAAATCTTTGGAATATCAAAGTACGAGTTTCTCGCTTGATAATCTTATTGGATGAGAAGGTATTATATCTTTATAAATCGTTTACATTTATTAGATCTTTTAATGAATCTTTTAGTTTTTATCAATTAATTTTATGATTAAAACAAATTTTTTGTGATTTAGGTAGCTTAATTAAGTCATAAAATTAACTTAATTTTTTATTTTTAATTACAGGGTGATTACGTTCCCTCAATTAAAGTCAACTTTGTTCTACAATTTTTTTCAAAATTGATTATTATAATTTTATTTTTATTTTTGATTTTGTTCTACGAATAATGATTTAGGATTTAAATTATTTTTAAAATTAAAAAATATTCTCTTTTCATATTAAAGATTTTATGCTAATATGTAATCAATGAAATATCATATTTACATTTTTTATTTCAAAGATATCATATTATTGTCATATAACCAACAACAACGAATAAAATACAATACAACAATAAATTAAATGGCATTATAAATTACATTAAAAAATAATATACTTTTGTAATTGGCAATATCATTTTAATTAAATTATTTTTTGTTTTTTTTTTTATCTGAAATTATTAAATTGTAAAATAAATCAAATAATTATAAAAAAAAAAACACTAGAGTATATAGGAAAATATCTTTTCTTGAGATATATGTATGACAATTTGTGCATCGCACGGTATTATTTCAACCAATTCAAAGTTAGATTTGTATTTTATTTTAGAATTAAAAAATTCACTCGCCACATAAGCAAAAGTGACAAATGAAATTTAAAATTTTTGCCACGTAGGTATAAACGACGAATATGATTTATTGTTTAAATTATTTTAAAACTAAAAATTATCTTTTTTAAAAGATGATCTTTTGATACTAGGATTTAAATTAAAAAAAATATAAATTATACAATTATTATATACAAACACTTTAAAATTAAATATTTGAAAAAGGAAAATATATGTTCATTTTGTTTTTAAGAAAACGTTCAATCAATTTTTTTTAATTTTTTTTAAAAAGAAATATAAATTATTAATAATTAACTAATATTCTTCAATTTTTTTCAAAAAAATCAATATTCTTCAAAAAAAATAAATAATAATAATGTTCAGTCTTTATCAATATTCTTAAAAAAAAAAAAATAATAATGTTCAATTTTTATCTTGTCTAGCAACCATTTCATGATTAGATAAAATTTTTATAAGAGATTTATTTGCTACTCCACAAATATATAAGATAGGATGATATTAAAGATTTGTATTCATCCTCTCAAAAATATAATTTTGATTTTTTTTTTCAATTGTAAATAGACAATATATATATATACTATACAAAAAACACAAACATGTGAATATTATTTATCTACACTTTTTCATGGTGTGAATTTTTTTCAGGTCTAATTTGTTGATTAACAAAAAATATTGGAAATAATAATGTAAGTATATTAAGACTTTCTGATGGTAAACAAAATAAATTGATTGTTATTCATTATTTTATAAGATGTATGTTTTGTTTTATTTTACCTAATCTAATTATGTTACTTATCGTATTAAATTTTGTTAAACAACTTAATTGTAACTTAATATTAATTATTCTGTATTTGAAGGGATTTTGTCCATGCGCCAATTGAAAGAAATTATTGGAAAAGTAAGAGTCAGTTCTCTTCAGCTTATTCTCCGTTCAGTTCTGTTCAGTTCCTAATTTCCCTCTCTCATAAAATATTCAGTTCAGTTCAGCTTCAATCAGTTCAGTTCACCTCAGCTCAGTTCAGTAAATCAGAACAGACCCTAAGTCAACTATAATGTTACAATAGTAGGGGAAAAAAATTAAAGATTGTAAGAGATGTCTCTGATAATTTTTATTTTATGTGTATTATAGTTTCTGGTAGAATATCTATATTATTATTGTAAAAATCATTGTAGTAGTGTATGCATATAACTCTATTATTAAGACATATGATAATAAAATTTCATTATAAAGATTTAATATTATTCAATTAGATTAATTTTAGTAATGCAACACTCTTGCTAATATATATATATTTCATTTAACTATTTAAAAATTTATAAAGTCATATTTTTTACTATTACTCCCACCATCTTTATTTTAACCCTATAGTTTTGGGTTTATTAATTTTTCATTGTATAAAGTTGATACGGAGTAAAAGAATAATGGTGGTCTAAGTTATTGTTTGTGAAAGAAAAATAGTAATTCTATAATTATATATGTATAGAGGAACAACATGTTTTCGTTATACAAACGAATCATAGGTTAAAAAAATACGAATAGGATTATGATTTTATTCTAATATCTATCATACTTATAATTTTCATATAACTAATATTAGTAAATTAAGGTCGCATTATAAGTTGCATAAAAATAAAACAAATTATCCATTTTCTAACAAGCAAAATAATAAAAAAATTATAGGGCTTAATTAAGAAAAAAAAATCTTTTTCATGAGATTTATGTATAAAAAACCGTGCATCGCACGGGCTTCCATCTATTATCTTTTATTTTAGGAAAAATTGACAGGAATAATCCTAACTTTGCTTGATTCGCCCAAAATAATCCCAATTTTCGATTATTTTTTAATAATCCGAACTTTAATATGAATTTGCTTATAATGGTCCCAACCGGTTATAAAACTTGTTATAACAAGTCACCTGACACATGTTAGGATGTGATTAGTCAAAAAAATAAAAAATAAAACAAATTTTAATTAAAAAAATCAACTAAAAATTAAAAAAAAAATCAATTAAAAAAATAATTAATTAAGAAAAAAATTAAATTTAAAATAAAAAAAAACCTCCACCAGCTTAGCACCGCCGCCTCCAGCGCCTGACCCCCAGCTCGACTGTCGGCGCCTAGCTGGTCACTCCCCGGCTGGTGGATCCCGACGGCGCGTTTCCCCCTTCCCCCGCCGGCGAAGAGAACCTCACCACCCCTTTCCCCTCCCCAAATTCCC